TGCTACAGGTTGCTGGGTACGTGGGTGAAGAACAGTTGGGGCAAGCTTTGGAAGGATCTGATGTTGTCATCATTCCAGCTGGTGTGCCAAGGAAGCCTGGCATGACCCGTGATGATCTTTTCAACATCAATGCTGGGATTGTCAAGAACCTCTGTACTGCAATTGCTAAATACTGCCCCAATGTTAGTATCTATGCCTTTTTGGTTTGGCAAAAAGTTAATTATTTGTTTAGGACTCCTGTTCATTCTGATCTTGGCATTTGAGTATGAAAATGATAGAATCAATTCCGCGTAATTGGGTTAATTCTGGAGGGGATTGTGATACTGAATTAAATCTCAAAATATGATATGCTGATAAATTCTGTCAATATTCAGGATGCCGTTTTGTTTCTTCTCGCCTGCTGTATGTATAGGACAATAGGAAATTTCTATACTTTAGAAGATTTATTTGGCCGAAACTGGGTTGGCCTTGTAATTATCTTTTATTCTTTTCTATGCTTTAAAGCTGTTTTTGCTGGCTTTTTGATGAATTGAATTTATGGAGCAGGCACTGATTAATATGATAAGCAACCCTGTCAACTCAACGGTCCCAATTGCAGCTGAGGTTTTCAAGAAGGCAGGGACTTACGATGAGAGGAAATTGTTTGGTGTAACTACACTTGATGTTGTTAGAGCCAAGACTTTCTATGCTGGCAAGGCTAAAGTACCTGTTGCAGGTTTGCTTCATTTTCTATATCTAAAACCAGAACCTGTAGCACCATGCTTGTCTGAGTCTGAACCTTTTTACTGCCTTGTAAAGAAGGAAAGGGGAAAGAGGAAGGGAATAGAAAAAAAAAAAAAAATTCTCATTTTTTTCCGTTTCTCATTGTGGATATTCTCGTTACATCAGATAGATCATCTAGTCAGAAGATCTGTAGCGTTTATAAAATTACCTTATTAACTTAAGTCTATTGGTTTGCTTGCAGATGTTAATGTGCCAGTTGTTGGTGGTCATGCTGGCATAACTATTCTCCCACTATTTTCTCAAGTACTATCATTGGCTCCAATCTCTCTTTAATCACTAATCTTTGGTGAAAAAATGTTTTTGATGCTATTGTTGTTTTTATATATATATACATATATATATCAAAAATCTTTGGATGGTTCCTTTCTTCAATATATGCTAATTACTTTTGACTACTTTCTAAACACTTTTAGGCCACACCAAAAGCTAATTTGTCAGATGAAGAAATCAAGGCTCTCACAAAGCGTACACAGGATGGAGGGACAGAAGTTGTTGAAGCAAAGGCAGGAAAGGGTTCTGCAACATTGTCAATGGCGTAAGTCCTAATTGTTGCCTTTGAATTGCATTCTTCATTGGCTCTTATTCACCTGGTCTAGTTCACATTGAAAAAATAAATAAATAAATGAAGTCCATAGGGATCAAAACTCAATTAGTGTTTTTTCAAGACAAGAAGCAAATTATGTTCTTGTACCTACATCCAATTTCCATGTTGTGTGTTGGATTTAATAACCACTTTGCTCGAAAAGAGGGGGTTAAGAAATTGTTTTATGCAAGTTAGTTTTTATTCTTTGATGGATGGACAGTTTACTGTAGTTGAATAATAAGGTCATAATATCTGGTGCTTGTATTCATTTGAGTTCCAAGGTCCTTTCATTTGAGGAATTGTTTATTTTGACCTCCATTTGGCATATAATGAAAAAGTTTCAATGTCAAAGATTTTTTCCTTACATAACCTGTATAATTTGTGCTCTTTGATTTCTTAACAGTATCTCTTGCTTATTTGTGATTTTTCATTTTGCAGCTATGCTGGCGCCATTTTTGCTGATGCTTGCCTAAAGGGACTCAATGGTGTTCCTGATGTTGTGGAATGTTCATTTGTTCAATCAACTGTCACCGAACTTCCTTTCTTTGCGTCCAAGGTTATTTAACCCAACTCTTCTCAGAAATATTTTTAAGGGGCCTTAGATCTTCATTTCTTTCTTCCATCATTTGCTTCTCACTGCCTGAGGATTTATGGTTCTAATTTGTTGTACTGTCTATATGTAGAATATGTTCCATTGGTTAACCATGATTAGAAGTTCTAAAATTCCATTTTCTTTGCAGGTGAGGCTTGGAAAGAACGGTGTGGATGGAGTTCTGGGATTAGGCCCTCTCTCTGACTACGAGAAGCAAGGCTTGGAAGGCCTTATACCTGAATTGAAAGCATCAATCGAGAAAGGAATCAAATTTGCCAACCAGTAATAGCAAAAACAGTTCATTGCATTCAAACCAATGAAAATTTTGGATTTTTTTATCAAAACTGCTGTATCTCATGCTGCTAGTGGCACCGGCTATGCTGTTGCAAGTAGGGTAGGCCTTACGAACCACGAGTTAATGTTCAATAATTCTCATTCCATGTCATTGGAATGCTTATGAACACCTTTTAACCTGAAGGTGAGGGTTTTAATTCATTTATTACAAGTCAAAATATTCAGGCATCTCCTGGTATTCAAATATTAACTGAAATTTGTAAAGGAATAAAGGGAAAAGAAAGCATATGCCATAATTCCTGCGATCCCATTTTAAGGAAAAGGTGGAAGAAGGCATTTGTAAAGCAAAAATGGGTGGTGGCTATCAACATGGAACAATTGTAGCAAAAGGACGAGTGTAACCTGTATGTTACAGTTTGATTGTTAGATGATACCAATTAGATTATACCAATACCAATAAGTTCAACACGCCTCCATTCTGGTTAGCAAAGCTCAAGTGTCCGCGAATTTGGAATCATTTCATCCCAAGATAGACCTGCAGAGAAAGAAGTTCTCATGAACTGGGCAAACGATAATACATTTTATGTTTTAAGATGACTCTCGATTTTTTATTTTTGTTTTTCGAATTAAAGATTCAAGGACACAATAATGATAGGGTTAAGGTAAGAAGAAACTGTCTACCTTAAAAAAAATGACAATTAATTTGGGATAAATTCAAAATAAAAAAAATGATGGTTATCTTGGAATGTAGGGAGAATATATGAAGCAATACCTATCACTAGAACATTACACAATTCAGAGATGACGCAAATACAATGTTTGCTCATGGTGGAAGTTTCACAATAGTCATCCAACGAGTGGATGTATCTACAGTCCATACAATGCAATCTATTCATTAATCTTTACTTCCACAGACCATAGGCTAAACTGATGCAATAAGCTACAAGCGTTAAAGTAGATGTTGCATAATATCAAGTATGCATTATTAAGCATGGGAATTAGCTCCATCAACGGAGAGAAAATGGACTCTCCATCCAAAGGAATTTACCTATGAAATAAATATTCATATCACAGTAAATTCTTTTTTGGTTGTTCTAAATATTGGACATATGTTTATGCATGTTTTAGATTACATTGTGGCCAATAACAGGGAGTTAAATCAAGCATTCTGCTTTGCAATATGAACGTGCAGATTCACCTAACCAGGGGGGATAGGGGGGCAGAAAGGAGAGAATGCATAAAAAGATACTATAACCAAGCAACAAAAATTATTTTTCAGTATGGACATCCTGCCAGCAGAGAAATCCATGGCTGGCCACCAAAGATGAAAACAAAATGCATCAAACTAAAAGAGCATGGTATAGAATGCAAATAATCCATAAGAGCATAGGGTGAAATGCAGATGTACAATTAATGAACCACTTGCTGCCGCTACAAGAAAAGAAAATGGTGTCATTAAGTCAATTGTACTGTATTGGTGGAGCCATTTCATATTGGCCATGGCCCATGCTGAAACATGAAAAAGATTAGAGCAAGATAGTTTGCAGAGAAATCATGTCCCATAAAAATGAAATCAAGGACCTTGACAAAAATTAATTAGTTTAGATGCCATTGAAAGGTTTAAGAAATAAAGCATTTAAAGTTTCAAACAGGTAACAAAGAAACAAAAATGCATGGATGATCATATAACATAAGGCAGGTTTAATAAATGAGAAATGCAACAAAAGTTGAAAAGCTTCTAAGATGCTATCCAAGCATCCCTGATAGGCATGGAAAATTTGGTGAGGTCTGACTTGGAAGCTGGTGCTGAGGGTAAAAAGTATAACTAACTACCCTTTTTCCTCTTCTTACAATGTCAGTTCTTTTGGTTAATCAATGAATTGCCTTAACCAGGATAATGCAGAAGAAGTAAGCAAAGTAATATGTTCCCATGTCAAGTAGATTGAAGCTAAAAGCCTTCTTAATCTATCACAACCAAAGAAACACATGCAGTAAACTTTACATAATATAGCATGTGTGCTGAACTTGTGAGTGTCTGCATAGTCATGCAAGAATTATAAGGGAAAAAAACCCTAGTTTCCAAGATAGAGGCTCTTATCTTACCTCAGTTAAGTCCCATCAAAATCCCAGGTGAATCACAAACATTATCCAGAGGAACTATCACTGTCAGAGTCTGCATTAATAAAGTATTAGAATGAAAAATATTATATACATGTATATAAACATAACATAAAAATACAAAAAATGAAACTTAACAATTACCAGTCGATGAGGATCCAGAATCAGTACTGGAGCCGCTTGAACTACTTGATGCACTTGTGATATTGCCTTGCTTTTCTCCATGAACAGGAGATGATGAGGAAACAATCCTCTTCCTCTCAACTGCTTAGCAAATAAACAAGGTTCAATAAATAAGGTCCTTCCAACAAATAAGCAAACAAATTAGTGCACAATCCTCACAAATTAATAATAATAGTTACCAGCTTCAGCTGCTTTTGGTGCCTCTGCAGCAGGTGGTCTTGGATTCTACCAAATAATAACAAAGATGACATATTAGATAGTGAGCATCACTTATGTGCTGCTAAAGCAGCTAGAACTTAAAAAAATACATATTCATCATCTTACAGCCAGATGAATATTGCTGTCGGGTTCAGCATTGTCTTTCAGAGCAAGTTCAGCTTTTCTCTTGATTTTGCTCAGACTCTTCTTATAATTGGTCACAAATCTGTCAAGCTTCCAGAGTGTTTCTGGGTCAACACAGTCAATGTCCATCTCAATCTCATCTTCCTGCTGGAAAAGTGCTGGATTTCTCTTCTTAATAATCTGGACAACGCCATCTATTTTATCTGAAGGCAAATTCCGAAGGCTTATGCTCAGTCTCTGCTTCTCCTCATAAGTCATATCCCTCTTGTCAGGGTCCTTTGCCTTTGGCTTCTTTGGTGCTGGAGTCCTACCTGTAGGAGCTAAATTCATGGATCTTGACGTGGGATCAACAGGCATCGTTGTAGACTCTGATCTCTCCAAACTCCTAGTTTCTAGAGGTGGAGGAGCAGGAGTAGTAGGAGCTGGAGCTGAAGAAGGTGCAGGGAATTTCCTCGAATTGGGATTATACTCAGCCTCTATAGGTGCCCAACTCTCTTCAAATATCTTTGATAATGTTTCTGCCATAAAATGCACATCCTGGCCCTTTGTATTATACAACATTGCATTACTAAATGCTAGTCTAACATCCACTGCAAAATCCCTAGGTGACTTATACCAGTGATTGTTCAACCTAGTCTTCACTGTGCCCAAATCCATTGGATGCTTAATAATTGAATTATAATCACGCAAGCCAAGCCCCTGAACATCCACCGGAGCATTAAAAACCCAACCAAATTTGTGCTTCATTAACCTCCCTAATAAATTACTACATCTTTTAAACAACTGACTGGGAAATCTATCTGGCCCAGATTCACCACCCATTCCACTCCCATTGTTCTTTCCTACATTTGGTTTCAACTTCTTGTTACTATCAGTAGGCATAGACTTCTGCTTTCCCAGTGAAAAATTTGAATTCTTATAATGCTGATTTGTCTTTGGAGTTCTCGTCTCTCTATCCACAAACTCACCACTACTACCAACAACATCAACACCATGAGTACCATGAATAGTCATGTTATCTGCTACAGACACAGAATTTCCACAAAAAGGGCGCGAATTTGGCAACCCAACAGAACCAACCTCAGAATTCACCCTCACTAAACTTCCAGCCCTATCAACAATCTCATTTGCCGAGAACTGTGAACGGGTATACCCACTACTAAACTGAACCTCTTTAGCTTCAAGTTTCTTCATTAAAGTCCTAACCTGATCAAGCTCACTCACTAGTTTCCTCTTTATACCCCTAGCCTCACTCTTTGTGATGAAATTCAAGCTTATCTTAGCAAGGTTATCATATTTAACGTACCCAGATGTCCCGTTTTCATGACTGACATTCTGTGCACCAGGCTCCGCCAGATTGAGGCTCGAAGAATCATCCGACTCCACCATATCAATGGCCTGGTGAGGCTGAGAGGAGGTGTTGTCATCAGTATTAGTGGTACTAGCTAGTGTTTGTCTGATGGGATTTCTGGGTTTGTTCTGGTCTTTCCTTGTGTAGACCTTGTTCTTGTTACTCTCTGCCCCTCTTATCTTCTCCCTCGAATCTTCACCTCCGATTGTCCCTGCAGCCATTCACATAACACAAACACAAAAACCAAAACCCACAAAGGTTAAAACTTGAATGCGAAAATTTCCTAACTTGGGAATACCCAAAAGCCCAGAAGCTCGAAAACAGGGTTTTAGGGTTTATAGGAGCTGTTACAGTGGTGGGGTTTTTAAAAGGGTCAGAGAAATTAGGGTTTTCTTAAAGGAAGAGAAACAGGATTTGGGTTTTCCTCTAATTTTACTCTAGGGTTTTGCAGAGGGGAATTGCGGCAAGGTGAAAATCGGAAGGATCCGTACAGTTCCCCATTCGCAGGCTCAGTGGGAGACGGGGGATGAGAGTGTGGAATCTGTTATTACACGCGCTTCAGCGCGAATGAGAGAAACTGGGAATGTACAGATACATCCAATAAGATTTTTTTTTTAATTTTTAGGATAATAGGGTAAAGGTATAATAAATTTATATTAAAAAATAAAAATAAAATTTTAATTTATTAATTGTTCGAATTAAATTTATTTACTTAATGATAATACTAAAATAAATTTCTTACCATAAGGAGAAAATGTTCTTAAAGTAAAATTCCTTCAAAGTCCTTCTTTTACCCCTAATTTGTTTTCAAGATAAATGGATGAAGTATTTTCAAAAAAAAAAAAAAAAGATAAATAGATGAAGGAGAAGGGAAAACAATGTCCTGAAAATCAAAGTAGAATTCCTTCAAACATATCTCTAAATAAGTCTAAATTGTGAAAAAGTTGAATTAGATTGTGCATATTGCATATCACGGGAAAAGAAATATAAGCCATATAAAACAAACGACAAAATCATTTCCTAAGTGATATACCGTAAAAACAACAAATTGAAAATGGATTTACACAAAATATTTTCTCAGACCAGAATTTTCCTAACATCTATATCTCTTGTTTAATGAGAAGTTGTTATTGTAAAATTGTTTTGTAAAAATATGATGTAAATTAACTTTGAATGGTATTCTAATCACAATTATAAATAATAAAATTAGTGAATCAAATACTATCTTTTCATCTTAAATAAGCATTTAATTCTTGGTTAAGGCTAAGAAAATAAATTATTTAATTCTTGGTGTTAGAGAAAGCTATATGAAATAAATTTTAGGTTTTTAATGAGGATATGAAAGATTTATTTTTGACATATATGATGTTACACTAAAAACTAACAATAGCTTAAAATTAGTGAACATAATTCTTTTTATTTAGCAAGACACATAATTCTTGAGGACATTTGCTTTAGCAACAATGCTGCGGAGATTCTAATGCATCGATCAATTGCCCAAGAGAAATAGTCCATGTGATACCAAATGGAGTTGAGAACACAATTTCTTCATGATCCGGTAGCCGGAACAAAATTCGGGGCAAAACATGGGATTCCGTCGAATGAGGATGGAACATGGGAAAACGAAAGAGAATTAGGCCAATGTTCTACAACGCCCAAGACATATTCTTAGACTCGACAATGAGGCCTCGAGAGTTTGATCTTAATTACCATGATTGTAGCATGCATTCGTGGGAAATTAGTGTTGGCTCTAAATTATCCCAGCATTGTTGAAACAGTGATTGTGCAAGAAGATTTTGGGAACACATTTTCACTAAAAGTGAAGTCCATTGTTGAGGCATTGGAGGGAGTGTTGAAGTCCAGCAATATGGATGATAAAGAGAGCAATGTGTGGGAATAGATACCAGCTAGAACTCAAGAGAAATGAGAGTTCTCTATTCTCTCTGTCTCTCTTTCTTTTTTTTCTTTTTTTTTGTCTTTTTTTTCCTTTTCAAAGAGTCACTATCTCTCTAAAAGAGGTAGGATAGATTATTTTGGTTTGTAAACAGATATATTGGGTTTCGGAGGTCAATTAAGATTGGGGAAGATGTTAATTAAAGGCATAAATATGACATAAGGACCCAAACTTATACAAAATTCGCAATGTTGGACCCAAACTTCAATTGCACTCAATTAAGGTCCCGAACTCCACGGAATTCTCAAATAAGGTCCCGATTGGACGGAAAACTAACTTCCGTCAAATCTAACAAACACCGTTAATGACTTCTTGACGCAGTTCGTCATCGGCTTCCGTGGTTGCAGGTCCTGCACGCCATGTTTTTTTTCCTTTACTTCATTTGTTTTTAGTAATAATATTTTTTATTAATTAATTATTTTTTAAATTAATGAATTAATATTATATAATATACATAT